TTTTTGAGATGGTGGTGCACACAGACAACCCCGGCGCAACGCCACAGAGCGCAACACCACAGAGCTCGAGCGACATGGCGCCAAGATGGTACAAGAGTAGGACACATCGGTTGTATCAGGGAGTTTTGACCAATGGGAAAGAGGTTCAGCGACACGCCGCGAAGAAGGTATCTTTTGAATTTCTACCAATCACTGCAGCCGCGGACACAATTTCTACCAATCACTGCAGTCGTGGACACGGAGACGGACAGACGGACAGACAGACAATTAATCCCCCCTGGGCTGGTGTAACCAGAGGTTCCTACCAGTATTAACGCTATACGCTTATAAGGCGCTGCTACAATAGCTCCAGTTAGTTCTGAACGAGCGACCTCGGTGAAGTGCATGCTGAACTGCCTGTGCTCTGGCCCAAGTAGGCAACTTCAGCTAGGACAGGTCCTAGATATCAACACTTGCGATCTTCCTGCAGCGTTGGCAAGCGATGGGTCGATCGGCGTCGGAGCTCGCGAAGCCTTCGGTCCCCATTGGCGCACCGCTGCCGTGGCGCATCGGCGCCATTGAGAGCTTGTGCGCTCCGTCCCCGACTGGTACGGTCTCCGCATCCTCACCATCACAATTCTGACGACCATGAACCATGCACCAGGGCTCATGGCGTGTTGCTGCCCTTGCATTGTCATGGCCCAGGTTGCATCGCGCATGGCGCTTTACGGTGGCTATGCACTCGTCCTTGGCGTGACCATCACCATGATGCTTGTGCAAGCCACAAGCTACGTCACGGCGACCGTCTCGCCCGATCCCCATGACGGTGTTGGCTTCGCACTCGTTCGCGGCGCGGGCCTCGTGGCTGGAAGCGCACTCGTGCTGCTACTCGGTAGTCTGCGCCGCAACGTTCGGTCACGATGGCACCTTGAGGGCAGCGAACTCGAGGACGTTCTCTGCGCGCTCTGTTGCCCTCCTTGCATGCTCGCCCAGTTAGCGACGCACGTCGAGCTCTACGACGAACCCAAGTCCGTCTTTGGCCCTCGCAGCGTTCTACGGCGCTTTAGCCTCGAGCCCGACGCGCTCTGAGTCGTTGCAAGAATGCCTCGCTGGTCGACGCCAGCGGGTTGGAATTCTGGCACTCCACGTTCACTGATTTCATGACAAAATATTTCAAGTTTTTAGAGTTTTTTCTGACGTGACGAGCTCAACATGCCGCAATATTGAACGACAAATATGGCTCGTCGATCGTCCAGGTCCCATTTCGCAACCGAACAAAGTGACACTTGTTCAGTCACACCGAAAAGTCTAGCTGATGGCGGTGCGCTTGTACTGGTACAGCGTCGCAAACGAGATGGTCTCGCGCTCAAGCTGCGCCAGCGCCACCGCTTGGAGGAGCACTTGCTCGCGAGCATAAGCTTCGTACCGAGCGTCGGCGTCGGCGTCGCCACAAACGTGCGGACCTAGGACACGCCGTGGCGATGGTCCCCGAAACTGTATCTTTTCCTACACTGCGTCGTTGGCAACCCCAAGTGACACTCGCCGCACACGGCCGGCGGTGGTCTCGTGGCGCGAAATGCAGCGCGCGCTTGTTCTCGCGCGAGTGCAACGGCGTCAGCAACGACCTACCGAAATATAAAAGTGCATCCAGGTCTCTGGAGACAATACATACCTCGGTGGCCGCTTTGGCCGCCGCACGCTTGGCATCGAGGCCGTCACGCTGCTTGAGAAGCGTCATCTTTTCCCGCAACTGCGCGCGGTATTCGTTGCCAAGAATCTTGGCCAGAGCCTTCTTGACCTCAGCCGCGACCCGGTCTTGCTCTTGCTGAAGCGCCGCCTACGCCGCGTGGTAACCCTAGTCCTATACCTAGCCCCACCTCCTCCAGGCAGCGGCGCTCGCGCTCCGTTGCGATCGCGTCGCGAAGATGCGCATTGAATGTCTCGTGCTGCGTCGCCTACGCAAGTGATTGCGTATTCATGTCGTCATGCGATCACCAACCAGGGCTTTGCGGCGCTCAAAGCGCAGCTTGCTCTCCAGCGCGCGCATCGTCTCTCGAAGGGCGATGACGTGGCGCCGCGCGAGGTGGCCTCGAACGTACCGCGTCACGGTCGTCGCTACATATCATGCGCATGTGACACTCGCGCATAGTTGGATCGTCGCACCGGCGTGCTGCCGCTTTCGAAACCGAGCTCGCACGAGACAGCGGCGGAGCCACGCTTGGAGTTGACGCGCATAGGCGGTCGTGCGATGGGCAAACGCCACATACGCGGCCCAAACACCAAACAACTCGCGCTGCCGCCGGACGCAGACGTTGGCGAAGCG